CACTTTGTGTGAAGCTTGCATTTTTGCACCATAACAAACTTCCCTTTTGATTCCATTTCCCACGATGTTCTAAAGCCAACTCGTCTCCTTCCTGTTCGTAGGAGCAATGGGCCAGCCCGCGTGCGGCTGCATCGACGGTGAGAACAGCTCGCCTTGCCTTCAGCAGCCCAAAGCCTCACTCACTAACCACCGCCCCACGGCAGCTCCACATCAGCCATACGCCAGGCTCCGTCCAACGCAGAGTCAGCTGAGAACAGTGTGATTTCAACACTTAGCTGGAACACATACAGGATGGAAACAGAACGGCCTCTGCTTGAAGACTGCAATCAATCTGAATGGACCGGGCCCAGCAGCGTGGCCTAGCGGCTAATGTCCTCGCCTTGAACACGCCAGGATCCCATATGGTTGCCAGTTCTAATCCCGGCAGCTGTTCCACTTCCCTTCCAGCTCCCTGCTTGTGGCCTGGGAAAGCAGTCGAGGACGGCCCAGAGCTTTGGGACCCTGCACCCACATGGGAGACCTGGAGGAAGTTCCTGGTTCCCAGCTTCGGATCGGCATAGCACCAGCCATTGTGCTCACTTGGGGAGTGACTCATCGGACAGAAGATCTTCCTCTCTGTATATCTGACTTTGTAATAAAAATAAATAAACCTTAAAAAAAATCTGAATGGACCACACTGGAAAAGAGAAAGCAGTGAGATTTAGGGTTAAACGGGTGGGTGCCCAGCACTGCGGCCATGTGGGTAAAGCTGCCCACCATGGGCACCAATTCTTGTCCCAGCGCCTCCACTTCCAAACCAGCTTCTTAGAAAAGCACCTCAAGATGGCCCAACTGCCTGGGCCGTCACCCAACTCAGCAATGTGGAAGAAACTGTCTCCCGGCTTCAGCAAGGGAGCGACCCTGGCCACCGCGGCCATCTGGGGAGTGAATGGGCGGCTGGAAGACCGCTGGTCCCTCTGTAGTACTGCCTTTCAAGTGAACAAACGATGGGCAGGTTGGAGCCTGATCACTCCATAGCAGAGGTTATCTGCAAACTGAGGGAAAAGATTAAATGCTAATTCCAGCTAGGGAGCCAAGACTCACATGAGAACTGCCATGGGAGCAAGGAGGCCTGGGCCAGCGCGGCTGGGGTCAAGACCCGCAGGCTTGGTGTGAGGGAAGGTTTTGTATATTTGACAGACGCAAAATGCTTGTCAACAGATTCCGGACTAGAATGAATATAATCGCTGCTTGGTTAGGGTCATGACTCTGTCCCTGAACTGCAAGCATTTCCACTAGCTGGTGGAAATAAGGCACATCAGATTTTAACAAATCTTCATTACCTTTTGATATTTATCAAATTGCTTACATTAGCCACCACGCTTACATAAGCTCCAAGAAGTAAGAACAAGTAGTGTGTGCCAGACAATAGTAATCCCTAGAGATGCTGAGATGAGAGGTGGGGCTGCGCAGCTGAGCCTCACGCCTACTGACGGGGCCTTTGGACAACATTCCACACAAAACACTGACAAAATCAAGTCAGATGAACCCAACTCTGAAAAAACCTTAAAGGTATATGAAGTAAAGTTAAAAGCTAAGCTATGGGTCTGGCAGCGTGGCCTAGCAGCTCAAGTCCTCACCTTGAACACGCCAGGATCCCATATGCATGTGTTTGTATTCTGGCAGCCCTACTTCCATCCAGCTCCCTGCTCACGGCCTAGAAAAGCAGTGGAGGACGGCCCAGAGCCTTGGGACCCTGCACCCGTGTGGGAGACCTGGAAAAAGCTCCTGGCTCCTGGCTTCCGATCTGCTCAGCTCTGGCCATTCCAGCCATTTGGGAAATGAACCAGAGGATGGAAGATCTCTCTGGGACTCTTTCTGTAAAATATGCCTTTCCAATTAAAAATGGATTGTGGGGCCCAGCACGGTGGCGCAAGTGGTTAAGGTCCTCGCCTTGCACGCCCGGGATCCCATATGGGCGCCGGTTCTAATCCCGGCAGCCCCGCTTCCCTTCCAGCTCCCTGCCTGTGGCCTGGGAAAGCAGTCGAGGACGGCCCAAAGCTTTGGGACCTGCACCCGTGTAGGAGACCCGGAAGAGGCTCCTGGCTTCGGATCGGCATAGCATCAGCCGTTGCGCTCACTTGGGGAGTGAATCATTGGACGGAAGATCTTCCTCCCTGTCTCTCCTCTCTGTATATCCACCTTTCCAATAAAAACATAATAAAAATAAATCTTTAAAAAAAATGGATTGTGTGTGCACGCACACATGCTTAAGTGTGTACCTATCACCCTGTCACATGGTGGGATGTACGGTGGACAGACGTGAGGAGGGCCCTGGTCCCTGTCACATGGTGGGCTCCATGGTGGATAGATGTGAGGGCAACACAGAATCTACAAGAATACCCCTATTTTTTCTAATTCCACAACCTCTCAAAAGAAAACATCTTATCTTATAGCTTGAACATGATTTGGCCTCAAACTCATGCAAATATTAAACCTGAAAATCACAAATTAATTGCAATCACTTAATACAATCAAAGTGGGTATTTTATTCAGTGTGGGAAGTTTGTTAATGTGATTAGAAAGCGTTTAGACTGGGCTGCTGGAATGCCTCCCCTGGAGGCTCTGTAAAGACCACACGCACGCGCACAGTCCCTGGCCGCCTCCGGACTCTGCCAGCAAGGCAGGCACACGGACACAAGCCTCTGTCCTTGACGAAGCTGACCCATGGATTCCATCATAGTGATTTTTTAAAAAAGCTGAATAATAACAACAGTATTTTCTCTATTATCTTCTCAATGACCTTAACAAAAACAACCATTTTCATACGCTATTTGAGAAGTATGACCAGACTTCACATGAGTTGATCACCACAAATTTGTTAGCAGACCCCTTTACTGGAGCCATTTCTTCATCAGTCTCCAAAGGAGGTATGTTTGCACTTCTGTCAAAATCACACAACTCTATTACTTTTAAAGCACATAATAAATACATCAGAAATTATTTTTAGTACTGTATACCTAGAAAACAATCCTATCTTAGGGGAAATAGTGAAGATACTAATATCTCCTAAAATACAATGATTAGCTAGACGCATGGTCCACAGCCAAAACTTTAATAGACTTCTAGAATAAGAAAACAAATAAAAGCACATTGAAATCTTAACTGCTACTATATCAATCAAGAAATCATAACAGCTTTTGTGCCAGAATTTGGCAAGTCACAATTAAGCTAGATCAGGGAAAAGCCAGGCTGGGCTGACTGTTCTGACTGGTGCAAGCATAAATCAAGAGATGGCGAGGGTTGGCTGGCCTTTGCCACAGCATCAGCTGGCAGAGGCTGGCACTGGGGGCTAATTCTGTCAAGTTAAACTGCAGATCCACCTGGAGAGTACATGGTCCGGGAGTGGCCCAGTAGGGAAATAGTGGGCACCTCCTTCTTGGGTTACCACTCCCGCTGGTGAGCATGAGAACCAGGACTGAGGCAGGCATGGCTGGACAGAATGGCACCCCCTGGCATGTGTGTAGGCTGGATAGTGGGGTTGATTGGCATGTATGAGAGCTGAATGAGATGTGGGACACACTGAACCTGTCTGCTGTGCGTGCTGGCAAGCACGGGAACCAGGGCAGGGGGCAGGCCTGGTGGGGTTATTGCAGGTTGCTCTGACTAGGCTGCAGCTCCCACTGGTTTGCATGAGGGCCGAGGGTGTGATGGGCGGAATCAGGCTGGACTGTAACACCCATTGGTTCATGTGGAAGACAGGGCTGGAGGCAGAACTGACCCAGCAGTTGCAACCAGCAGCGTGTGCATAAGCTGACTGGGGTGATGGACTGTTCCGGACCCTCTACTGGCAAGCACACACGAGAACCTGGTCTGGGATCACCTCAGACTAAGTTTCTTTGGGGATCCCACCAACAGAACCCCAACCGTGAAGAGAAGTGTAGGTTCCATGGTCTGACCATGGAGTGCATGTGTCAAAGCTGAGCTTCCTCAAGTTCAGACCAAGCAGTAGACAGCATATCCAGGTGCACGTGAGGGAAATGGCGGTCCATCGAACCTGCAGAGGACACCTGATACCACACAGAGGACGGAGGGCGGAACAAATTGATCATCTACCCAGCCATGCATTAGTAGAGGGAATTGGGAAATGCAGACTCTAAGGTGGACTATGTCACATCGTGCTTGGAATGGCGAGATTGGCAGCAATTCAGAACTGTTGAACTGTCACAACCACTTGAGCAGTGCCCTAAGAGGGTGCCCTATGTTGGGGATGCTAGGATGGGGTGGGAAGCTGGGAGGGGCTTCTCCCTTTATTTCCCCCCTTATCCTAGACACAGAAAACAAAAAAATGTGGAAACAATGATCTTATCCACTACTTTCCTGCAGCCCTTGACCATTTGTGTCCTAATCAACTATGTAAAGGCTATCAAAATAAAACAAAATAATTAGAAAAAAAATTTGGCAAGTCTTTCAACTACTTCATCTGAATCTAATCAGTCAACTGTAGTGCACGAACTTCTAACTAACCCCAGGAAAAGAAGCAAATGGCCAACTATTGGCTCAGACTTGCAGATTTAACATGAAAATTGCTTTCCTAACGGAACATTCTGGCCACACTGATACCAGCAGGACCGACATTTCCGAGGAAGTGCTCAGTTCACCACACACAACAGCAAGTCCTGCACGGTCTCCCAGCTGAGGACCAAGTGTGAGGTTCACAGGCAGCATGCAGGATCTTCTCTCAACACAGGCATGGGATCTTCCACAGAAATGCTTGCAACAAAGATGACTTGTACAGTTTTAAAGCAGTAAGAGCGAAGGGAATGTAATTTTACTGAGCAGAAGCTCCTTCAGCAAACAGGGAATGAAGGGAGGAGAGCTGGATCGCATTTATTTGTAAGCACAGAACTTCCCTGGTAACAGCAGTTCTGTGAAATAACCTGGCCATATGTCTACGTCACTTTCAATTGTTACTTATGAATAACTACAATGCAAAGCAACAAACTCGTGAAAATACTCACTATTTGTCCTGTCTCCCCCTTCGTCACCATCAACTAAACCACCTGAACGCATGGCCGCCAGGATCTTCTGAGCAACGCTGGAGAGGGGGCGCTCACTGAGACCAAAGCCTACACACGGCTCACAGCTCTCCATGCTCACAAAATCCTAAATGCAAGATTAACACAAGACAGGTATGTCTCAACACTTCGAAATAAGACACAATTATTTGAAAAACTTTAGCACCAAGACTGTCATTTGCTATCATAAACAGAATAGGAAGATCAGTTAGGGTTATCATAGTAAAGACAATGCTTCCTGAAGTTTGAAACATGACTATTATTAACCCTCAAACATGCCAATCCAGTAACACAGCATTGACACACATGTAACATATCCGGCACTAACTGAAGCAGAACTTGCCGCTCAGCGCCAGGAGACCAGAAGAAAGACTGATTCTCTATCCCCAGACAGAAAACAAGTGAGAAAGGGGAGAATGACGGCAGAACCTCAGACAAACCTTACTGCTGCAAAACTCACCGTACACTGAATATAAATTTTACTGAATATAAATTTTAAAGTACATTAATATAATAGCTGGCAAATTTTTAAAAAAGTTTTGCTTAAGGGTTACAAAAGTTAAAAGTGCTCCTCTGTCACCTAAACATGCCCATTTCCTGATGTTTATAGCTGAAAAACCCCCAAGACGATATGAAATATGCAGCTTCCAGGCTGGCATCTCTTGTTGCAATGCAGGTGGGAACATTCTGGAAGGTGTTCTTTACAATCCTGACATCACTCTGACCAGGGTCACATTTAAACTGGGGCGCTCAAGAGACATTTCATATTACTTGTACCAGTTCTTAAAACTATTTTTGATATATCCAAATACTACAGTCCTCACCCATATTACATATAATTCAATATTAAAGTATTTCCACTGAAAAACTGATTCAAAGTCATTTACAATGTGTTACTCTGCAGTCAAAGCACTGCTGAGATCCGCGTTGCAGAAACAAGAAGGCCCCAGACACCAGCTCCTAAAATGATCAACCTATAGGGCCCTGATATTCTAGGGCAAGTAGCAACAAACGAGATTAAAGTCTTCAGCAAGGGACTATGGGGAAATAAATGGAGCGGCAGAATCTGAACGTACATACGAAAGGCTGGGCCATTCCATACACACAAGTCCCCTCAGAGGACGCCTGGAAGCCAGACAGTATCCCAAGTGACTGAGGCAGGCAGCGTGCTGAGTGCACACATTACACAAACGGGTGATCCGATTTCTGGGGGTGAAGTGACCACTTCAGCATTTCATCACGACACTCACCCAGTACACAATGGAAAAAACTCACAAACTCTTTTCTATCTGGAACTTTCTGGTATTTTCAGACTTCAGCTGACACTACAGTAACTGCAGTCACAACCGTTCAACCACGTAAGTGAGACTGCTGTGGTAGTTACAGAATCAGAAATGCTGCCTCACAACGCTGGGAACTTTAAAACTATTTAACAGATACTTTCTGTCTCAAATAAAGGAGTTATTACTATATTTAAAAATGTATGCACTGCACAAAGCCTTCTCCTTGTGAATACGGTACTACCAGAACTAAGTGCAAGCAGATGTTCACGTCATAAGAAGCATCAGTACTTTGTACAAGAAAAAACACAGAATGATGTAATAAAACATCCATTAACTGTGCATTTTAAAATGTATTTATTACATGTACTCCCCAACATATAGGACATTAAGGCAGTGTGTGCGGCAGACGCAGCTCCAGGAACTCTCAGCCTTGCAGAACAGCCTGAGCCCTGCACTGATTCTCTAAATTCTCCACGATCTCCTTCAGATAATCTTCATCTTTCCAAAAATGCACATACAACTCTCTTTCCATTTGATGTAACTTATTGGATGACAGCATTTTTCTCTTTGTCTTCACATCAGCAAGAACGTCAGTAAGAAGATGATTTAGCTGACTGAGTTGAGATCCAACATGGTGAAACTGTTCTACCAACTCCTAAAACAAGAAAATAAAAATGTTTGTAATTCAAGAACTTCATTCCTAACCCACTACAAATCTGCTATGGAATTTAATCAAGACTCTTAAGTGACTTCATACATTCTCACAATTTTAGAAATAAACCTCAATTAAAAATCTGTAAGGGCCCAGCATGACGGCTCAGTGGATAAATTCTCGCATACGTGCAGCTGTCATCCCATGTGGGTGCTGGTTCGTGTCCCAGCAGCCCCGCTTCCCATCCAAACCCTGCCTGTGGCCTGGGAAAGCAGCAGAGGACGGCCCAAAGCACAGAAAATGGGCAAAGAAAATAAACCAGCAATTCTCACAAATAAGTGAAAGCAGGATCAATCTCTCCACAATTAGGGAAATGCAAATTACAACTCCAGTAGGACATGATTCTGCATCCTCATGATTGGCAGAAATTGGTAAGTCAGGTAGTGTTCTATGATGAACAACAAATCAATAACATCTTTTTCCTAAGGATTCGCTCATTTAAGAGGCAGCATTACAGAGAGAATAAGGAAGAGCCACAGAGAATTCCCTCAAGCACTGGTCCAGCCCCTAACAGCCTCAACGGACAACGCTGGGCACACAAAACCAGGTGCCTGCAACTCCATCTGGACGCACACCCCCAGGTCATCCTCCACCGCCCCCTACTCCAGGCAGAAGCTGAGCAGCCAGGACGTGAACTGGCACTCCTACTCTGGGACTGAACCTGCTGTACCGCAGTGCCAGTCCTCCAAGGGGCATCTTTGAGAGCCTGACGGTGCACAATGCAAGCCATGTGGAAAACAACTGATCATGTGCATATCCTACAATCCAACCTGTCACTTCTAGGAGGCAAGGAGAGAGGAGCAGAAACGAAGAGGGAGAGTGAGGAAGGGGGGGGGGGGAGAAAGAGGAGAGGAGAAAAAGTGAGAGGAAGAGGGAGGAAAAGAATGAAACGGAGAGAAGGAGGGGAGGCAGAGAGGGAGCGAGAGAGAGGAAAGGGAGAATGAGGAAGGAGGAGACAGGGAGAGGGGGCGAGGGGAAGGTGTGTGTGAACACAGAGGCTCTCTCAAATGTGCGACTATGATAAGCAACCACACAAGCCAAGCAGCGCGAGCACAGAACAGATCCTTCGTGGGATGAGATGCTAGCTGGAAGAGAGAACGCGGAAGACATGTGACTGCACAAGCATCAAAACAGATGCGTCTGAAAACACATCAAGAAACAGGCAAGCATTGAAGAACACGCACAGTAAATCAGACACATGAAGATCAACTAACTCAACTAACTGTGGCACGCTGCGGAAAGCGCCGCCGGTGACACATGCCAGCTGAAGTCTCAGTGGCTCCACTTGTCATCCAGCTCCCTGCTAACAGCCACTGACACGGGAACACTGGAAGAAGCTCCCGGCTCGCCCTGGCCGTGACTGCGACCAGCACACGAAGGCCTCTCTGCGCAGCATTTCACAAGCAACAGAAAAGGAACGGGGCTCTGCTGAAGGCACGTGTAACCCTAAGCACACCCAGGACTGAGAACACAGAGCAGCAGCGCCTACTTGTCAGGATGAGTGAATGATACGGGTAGTGTAACTTGACGGTCCTGAACCTCACTATAAACATTACAGTCACCATCTAACTGTCTGAAAAACTTCACACACTGTAAAGTTCTGTACATACTGATCAAAACTGCCTGGGAATATGTTTATACGTGAACTGCACGTGCAAAGCGGCTGGAAGGAGCATCCTCCTCACCAACATCTCTACCCACCTGATCGCTGAGCTGAAGCTGATTCCCTCCCTGATACAGAGCCTCACAGAGCATGTCCACATCACGGTTCAGCGTGGACAGGAGGGATGAATGTTCCCGAGTGGTCACTGCCAACTCCTCACGCAGCGACGACACCTCCTGTCTCAGTCTCTCAGCCATTTCCTCCAGGTTCCCACGTGTTATAAACAATTCTTTTTTCCTGTTCTCGCTCTCTAGAAGTTGATAAAGCCTAGAATGTGAAAATAAATATTATAAGAAAAAAGTTTCAGGTCAACACAGTTTTCAAAATTAAAATCCACCATCAGGGCACTTATAGGACAGCACAGTGCCAACTTCAAAATATTCATTTGCTGAAATGAAGCAACTGAAACCATTCCTGCTCTAGTAACCCAACTACTGCACCAGAATACTAACACTACCCCTGACCCCCTGCCTCCCAGCTTCCAAGATCTACACGTTTCTTAGCTGACTTAGCCTCCCAAGAAAGCACAGGGGACAAGTATGAGGTAGCAGAACTAGCAAGGAACCTGAAATAGAGGAGCTAGAGCCGAGCTCCCAGTTACGGCTAGCACAAATCAAAATTCTCTGAGGTTTCATCTACATGTTAATACCATGGGTTTTTTTTCTTAATTTTTTTTAAAGATTTATTTTATTTTTATTAGGAAGTCAAATATCCAGAAAGGAGGAGAGACAGAAAGATCTTCCATCCCATGATTCACTCCCCAAGTGACCGCAACGACCGGTGCTATGCCGATCCGAAGCCAGGATCCAGGAGCCTCTTCTAGGTCCCCCACGTGGGTGCAGGGTCCCAAAGCTTTGGGCCGTCCTCAACTGCCTTCCCAGGTCACAGGCAGGGAGCTGGATGGGAAGTGGAGCTGCTGGGATTAGAACCAGCGCCCATATGGGATCCTGGCACGTTCAAGGCGAGGACTTCAGCCGCTAGGCCACACCGCCGGGCCCTGTTACTACCATGTTAATATCACTTCATTTTATAGGAAATGGAAAACTAATTAGGAGAAAATTGAAAATGTAAACATAAATTATACAAAAATTTAAAAAACGGAGCCAAAATAGCAGAAGGCTAATCCTCCACCTCCAAGTATTGGCTTCCCATGTGTGTCCCAGCCGCCGTTTCCCATCCAGCTCCCTGCCTGTGGCCTGGGAAAGCAGCTGAGGACGGCCCAAAGCTTTGGGACCCTGCACCCGCATGGGAGACCCAGAAGCAGCTCTTGGCTTCGAATCATCTCAGCTGCATCGCTTCTCGGCCTTTTGGCTAAGATCAAGTGTAGAATCATCTCAGCTGTGACCACTGCAACCCTTTGGCAAGTGATCCAGGAGCTGGAAAATGTCTCTCCTGCGCTGCAAAATCTGCCTAATAAGCTAAAC